GTTTTTCCAAATAATATATATTCGTTTGTGTTCCATGTGCGTTTTATTGAACTATTTTTGTAATCAAATATTTAAGTTTAACTATATTCCAGAAAATACAAATGAAAAATCATGCCTGCTTCTGCACTTTTGATCAGGTGAAATGTTTAGTTTAAGCTTTTCTACATTGCTCTTACTACAATGACACCATATTTACTGTCCACCTAGTTGCTGAACTCCTGGGATGCACTGACAAATTTTATGTATTTTATGTTAGCAGACAGAAATGTTACCTTCAAAGGTTAATGACCACATAACAGTCACTGGTTGTCAAGAGTGTTATCCCTTTATTCAATTTTACTTTTTATTGTTTCTATTTTACTCCTTTTCTGTTAAGGACTGAACATATACGCTCTGGATAATGCTGTTCTGAAAATGAAAATTAAATTTTCAATTATCTTTGACTTTAGGGAATACTTTCCAGTTATTTATATAGCATGTAAACTTAACATGATATACTTTTAAAAATTTCTTTATTAAATGCACTGCAAATCAGATCTTTGGAGCTGTAGAACATTTTTTAATTCTACATTTTCTGGGAAGTTCTCTTCACATACTACTGTAAGTAACCAGACTAGAATACAGTCGTATATTGTCATTCTTATTTGTCCCACCTACTTGCAGGATCCACTTGTTTTGCAGTGCGCTCACCTAGTTCTTACAGTAAAGCTTATCAATGCATGATGCAATAAAGTGTTTTGTTTTTCAGCTGATTTGTTGCAAAAGCTAACATTGATTAAGGCTAAGAGGGAGTGACTGGCCCAAGGTCACCCAGGTGGCCACCATGCCTAAGGGAGAATTAGAGCCTGGGCCTCCCCAGTCCTTAACCACTACACCATATTAGCTATCTAGGTGCAGTAGTAAGTATCCCTTTGGATGCAGGTATGTAAGTAATGCTAATGAACTTTGGTTTCTGAAATAGATTTTGCCATTTTTTTAGTTACTTCATAGTAATCATTAGACTTGTGTAGAAATGTAGATTTGGAAGGCAAAAAGTGATTTGGCAGATCCTTGTTGACATTTAGCACCTCTAGGTACTAATAGTTTGAAATTCTAAGTTTTTCCAAATAACTTAGATATTGACTTAAATAAATGTCAACAAGGATCTGCCAAACTTTCTGGCACTACTGGCACAAATATAAACCCTGAAGGAACACATCTTTTCCTGGGCATATGCATTTGCCCTTCATCACCCACATGCCAAAAGTTGCATTTAGCACCCATGTGCAGTCTGAAACACATTCCCCCTTTCAAAATGAAATTTCTGCATAGCCCTAGTGTGTGTGTGTGTGTGTGTGCATGTACACACATATAAAGCCTAGATACATAAACACCATTACTAAATATCTGATTTTGCAGACATTAAGGGAACAATTTAGATCATACACATTAAGTAAATGTAATAATTTGGAAAAGGTACTTTTCCAAAGGAGTACATGAGCATGATTAACACAACATCTGTCTGCCATTCTTTAAAACAGTTTCTTTTCTTTTTTTAGAAGCCACATGATCTTGGGAAAATACACCTGTTTTAAACAGTTGCAAACACAAACTTCATTTATGTCCCTGTATGCTCTGAAGCACCTTTTTGGAATCCAATCCAACTTTAATGTGCATCTTTAATGGGTACATCTAAAACTACCCAGTTCCTCAAATAAGTATCATTAATGGATACTGATATTCCAATGTGACCTGCCAATATGTTTTGGTCTAGTTCCAAGTTAATGAATAGATTATATTTATAGTATTTATATTTGTTATATTTTATATATCCTAAAATATAGATTAAAATATATGGAGACAAGGCATTACCATTAAAATCTGGAAACCTCTAATATAAAAAATTACTTCTTTTCCTCATAGATATGCACAAAGAAACCCACCTGCCCAAATCAAAATTAACAATCCCTTGTATTAGTAGTGACATGAAATTCTAACAAATTCCAGTGGTATAACTTAATGCCCTTTTGTACTAAGGATGCAGTTTATGTTTACTTCCTTGTATGTGCATGTTTATTTCAGGGCAAACCTACTTTGTACCACACTAGGAGGGTAAGCTTTACCATTCCAACATCCCGATACAAGTTGCTGACATACAGACATACCCTGACTTAAGTACTTGGAAGAAAATCTCACAATGAAGTATTATTTTCAGACAGGTACGTTGGTGCAAGTTGCAGCAATTATATATAAATTCAAATATAAAGTTGCAATAATAACCAAAAATAACCATTTAATATAAAAGTACTGAGATAGATATATAAATCCATGTAGTGCAATTCCTATTAGTGGTAAAGCTCTTACTAAATGAAGTATACTTGAAAACATATTGTTGATCTTATCCCTCAAGTGGTCAGATTTATTTCCATTTAGAAGGGAAGTCTGACTTCTCAGCAAACACACTCTAGTTATTTATTTGTAATACTGAACAATTGCAGGTTTTTTTAAACAAAAACGCACAAACAGTTTCATGACTTTATAGCTCATGCTCCATTTTTCAACCTGAACATGTTATATGAATTCTGCATCAATTACAACATGCTATTCATTTACATCTGCAAACTTCTCATTTTCTGTATTAAAAAGTAACAAATTTTAATCACAGTTCTGCTACCTTTAAATATTCAAAGTTCTACTTCATTAGTACACATAACTCTGTTCTTAATAACTTTGTTTAAATTCAACTAAAAAAACATGTACACTGAAAAATAAGATAAACATCAAGATTGCATTCTGAAATACACTTGCAAGCCAATCCTAGGCTACACCATACCTAACTTTATATTTGATTTAGTTGTTTCTTAGAAGCGTGTCTCTTTGAAAGATAGAGATTTGTTTCTACATAAAAAGAGTTAGATTCAGGCTGTATCTTTATCTGCCAGACTCTTCTGAACAACTATGTCTTATCAAAACTGCAATGCTGTAACATTTGCCCCAAGTTTTTAAGAAACAAATATATGCACTTTCATTAAATGTATAACATTCCAGTGTACTTTAGTGAATTCCGTTGATATAAAAGCTCTCAGGGTTTTTTGTTTTGTTTTTCTACTTAAAAAGTTACATTTGATACAGTTTTATTTGTACCCATATGGATCAAAAACTTTGTCCAATCAATTCAGTGCCAGAACATACATAGAATATGGCATAAAATCAGGTGTCATTCTATAAAATCAGTGAGGTATGACACCTGTATCACTCTATGCAACAAGAGAATGCAAGTCTGCTTGTTTTAGCATAGCATCTTAAAAATATTATGACTTGAAAGAATTTTATAAATATGATTACTACATATAGTATAGCTATTTGTCATATTTTGACTAATTATTTTAGAAACCTAAGTATTTAAAAATATGTATAATGGACTAACAAAGCCAGCAAAGCATGCAGCCAATATCTTCAATTTCCTGAAAATAATTTGCAAATAAACGAATTCGTACTGAGCTGATATTCTTAATACTTTTGGTATTTATTTAAAATATGTAAAGGATGTGTTACTATATTGATGTACCAGTCATACAGCCTGATTGCAAGCATCTTTATACAGAAAAAGATTTTAACCAGCTCAGTAGGGCTTTCTCTGCCTACTAAGTTTGTATTCTCAATTTTATCTTTCAATTTATTAATGCTGGATCAAGATAAACAAATGGGACTTTCTCCCACTTAAATATCTTTATGTTTGAGAAGTAATGAAGGTAAATGGGATTAAAACTGCAGCCCCCAAATAATTTATTCTCAAGCAGTCTTGTTGGGTCAGTGACATATGAATTACATATTTCCTCAAGTTTGCTACGCAGGTTTATTCCATGAATCTGTGAAAAGCATACAAGCCTCTGCTTTTCTATTATGTTGTCATGCCAGTTTCTGCTTTTCTATCCAACATAATTTACATGTTCTTCTCATGGCCATCAATATTATCAGTTATTGCAGGTAACATGTATAAACTTTTACATCATTATAAATGCACGCACAAAGTATTTCAAATTGTAGACATTTATGAAGTTGTGCAAATCAAATTATTGTGTATATGGTTAAAATTACAAAATGCTACTGGCTGCACACTTGTTCTATTAGACAAACTATGAATTTCCTTTTTTATTATACTAATTCAAACATTACTGCCTTAATGCCACAAAACCTGCAAATATGCAGACTTTAGTGCTCTAATTCTTACCCTATACTTCTTTGCTCAAAAAGGCTATATGATGTGGAGGAACAATATAGTTCACATTCATTTATTAATTGTTCTGTCCCTTCAAACTTCAATACAAAGCATTTGCAGAGTTTCACATGCAAGTTATTCATCTCTGGTCCAATGACTAAGTACTATGGAAAAAGTTATTTTTCATATTTAATGACTGGACAGTAGCATTAACAATTATTAAAACCAAAATTAAAATAAAAATCAACAATTTGCTAACAGTCTTCAGCCTTGTAATTGGAAACAAAGGCAGGAGTCAATAAATTGCTTTACTCTTTACTAAATTAATATAACAAAAAATGAATTTAGGAATAAAGAGAAAAAAGTGTGTGGGGGGTGTATTTGAGGAAAAAATATTTCAAGCTCACAAGGGAACAGGTTTGGGGGAAATGCTGCTGGGTCTGTCGCAGACACCTGTTATTGTACTGATACTGTGGGCAATAACAAAACCCCAACATCTTTCTTCTTACAACAATTAAGTTCTGTCACTGTCAATTTCGTAAGATCATCAGAGTTCCTGTGAGATATATCTCTATTCAGGTAAACTTCCTTCATAGACACAACCCATGCTGTTTCAGTGACCTGCATACAATTAGTAAAATATTTTGCATCCATCTAAACAGCGAAAGACACCTAGTATCATCTCTTTCATCACTTACAGTTCTGCAGATAAAGCGCAAGAGAACTTATCTGAGAGAGAGAAAATATGTATCTCATAATGTAATTTACAAAGAGTGGAAACGCCTACAAGGAGCTGAAGTACCTGCGCTGGGGAGATGTTCAGTTGTTCACTTCATCTTCGGTTGACAAGGAAACCAAACGGCACTTCATTCTCCAGGAAAACCTTCCACTGCCATCTTTTGAAAATATATTTATTTGTATATATGTGCATAGCTACCAACATTATGATAATCATAATAAAATTATCTCTGTATAAAAAAATTAAAAAGTGAAATTCTGGAAAGGAAATATTTTTTGGCTCTCTCTCTCTCTCTTTTACTACACAGCATTTTTGGATGGGGAGGAAGAATTTAAAAATGCTCAACAGGACCAAGCTGCAAGAAAAGTTTCACATTATAAAATCAGAAAAAGAAGAAAAACGGTTGATTCCAACCGGTTGTCCAAAAAAAGAAAAAGAAACAAAACAATAATAATAAAAAAAATTAACAAAATTAATATCTTGCTCGGTGGCTTGCACTAGTATTGCAAGATCACAAACTGTTTGTAAACGTTGCTGTAAAATGCATTTTTAAATCCCATATATATACACAAAAACCAAAAAAAGAAAACAGCGTCAAAAATCTCTGCAAAAGAGAGTTAGTTAAGCAACATGCCCACTTCTCATCTCTTTGCTTTCTTTAAAAAAAATGCATAATAATTTACATCGCTTTTTTCTCAGTACAAAACCAGTTGCATGTGTGTATATATAGGTAAATAATGTATATGCATTTACATTGTTGCTGGACTGGCAAGTCTGTTTTTTTCGCCGTTTCTTTGCTCTCTAGATTCCTAGTGACTTCCAGTCCCAGCAACACCTTTTGCTCCCAGTTTAGTAAACCATCGCATGCTAAGAAAAAAAAAAACTTGTCATCAGAAAAAGGATCAAATCCATGAAAACAAAGAGGTAAAAATAAAAAAGCAGCAAAAACAAAAAAGGAAGAAGAAAACAGGACAAAAAAAGGAGGACAAGAATTTCAGCGGAAAGGTACTCACCGAGCGGGAGTAAAAGGGAGGAATAAAAACGCGAGTTACTATAAAATACAGTATGGCGGTGGAAGAAGGAATGAAGCGCTTTTTTTTCCCCCTCTTTAGTCTCTGCCTCAGGCAATTGCCACGTGATTCTGAGCCAGGCTGACTCGCAGGCAGGGGGAAGGAGCAGGCGGGGAAGGGGTAAACCCCACCGGAGGAGCCCGACTCGCTCGCAACAGCTCGGCGGCGGCAGCTGGAAGAGTGGCGCCCGTGGCGGCAGCGGCGAAGGAGGCTGGAACCGCTCTAAGCAGCAGCGGCAGCGGCAGCGGTTAGCCTCGGCAGCAATGGGTGGCGCTGGCGACAGCAGC